GCTTGTACATGATGGAATCATTCTTAGTAAGCACAGAGCTTACTCTGTTAATGATTGTTTTCTGTGTGTTTCTCTGTGTCTTGGTGTCTTGGACATTAAGCACCTAGAAGACAGTTCATCTACATCCCAGGCTTGCACCCAGAGTTTAGAATAGAGTTGTGTGCACGTGATTTTGCTAATGCTTGGTAGCGTTATGGAGTAAAAACAGACCTGGGTTAGGAGTTTGGAAATCTGGGTTCTAGCCCTGGTCACTCATTAGCTGGGTGAACTCTAATAAATTGCTCTGCTCTCTGAGTCTCAGTTTTCTCATCTGTACAAGGAGGGGTTTGGAGCAGACACCACTCCAAGTCAACCTCATTCATTTGGCTATTTGGTCTGGCACTCGGGTGCAGTGAACACAGCATTCTGAGGCAGGAAGGCCAAGGGAAGCCATGAGTCCCTGCCCAGGAGGGACTTGATTAAAGGAAATCCTCCTTCACCCCCATAACTGTACCTGCTGAGAGTCAGAAGGTGGTTCTGAGGGGATATACCTTGGCCAGTTGAGGCCTTCTGACTCTCAAAGGGCTTCCTTCTCCCTCAGCTCTTTGCTATTTTCGCCTTCGGGTCCTGCGGCTCCTACAGTGGAGAGACAGGGGCAACAGTTCGCTGCAACAACGAAGCCAAGGATGTGAGCTCCATCATTGTTTTGTTCGGCTATCCCTTCAGGTGAGCAGGAATTGATTTTGACCCCACACAGCCTCTCTTGCTGGTTTGGCAGGACCTGCTTGGACTCTTCCTCCTCCAGAAGCCTAAAGACCTTTTGTTTAGTGCCACTTCGGTTCAAATAGAACTACAAGACTTCGGTCCTTCCTGCCCTTTAGGAATTTCAGACACACTAACCATAGAAAAATGTCAGGGAAACTCAGATAGGTCATTGTTATAATAATGTTCCAGTCCATAGATAACCAATAGCAGGTAACAAAGTTCCTACAGAAAGAACCCATGCAGTTTGGAATGGAGGCTAGTTGGACAGGTCTCTCTGACCTTCAGCGACCTCCTCCCTGCCTTGAAGGTTAGGGAGCTTGTTAGTACTTAGATCCTAAAGAGTTGATGTGGGGTACCTCACCTGGTACACTAGAATACAAGGATATATACCTTGACCAGGAGGTAGAAAAGAATACTCTTTCCTGGCTATTTGGGAGCCTAGGGAGGGGAGTCCCAACTGCTCAGAAGAGAGCTGGGAACAGGGCTCGCCTTTTCAGAAATTTTTAGTACCAACGGCCAAGTTAGGTTAATATCTCTTGTCTATAACAGGGTTTTGTTTTGTTTTGTTTTGTTTTGTTTTCTGTCCTTATTTTGTCCCATATAGTCTCATGGGGAAGGGGTGCTAAATAAGGCCTGAGAATGGGAAAGTCCAACCTTAACCTGGCCACTGTGGGCCTGTGCTCTCTGGGGGGCAAAATGAAGCTGATCTCCCTGGTGGTTTGGCTACCAGAAATAGATGCACTATGTATATTGTGGTTGTGACCTAAAGGGCCCTGGAGATACCTGGAAATACATGGTCACCGTATCTGGGCAAGGTAGATGAGGGTGGGGTAGTGGCTGAATGGGAGGTAGAGTTGGACCAGATTTCTGGGGATGTTTCTGTCTTGACTGCAAGGTTGCCTCCAGAAACATTCCTCCCCCCATGTCCCCTTTCTTGGCTCTGTAAGAGTCCCAGGGTGAGAAGTAGCGCAGGACTATTCCCAGCGCAGGGACAGTCCCCAGCCTCCACAGGGAGGGTATTGCCCCAAGCTCAGGATGACACTCCCCTGCCACCCACAGGTTGAACCGGGTCCAGTATGAGATGCCTCTTTGCGATGAGGACTCCACCTCCAAGACCATGCACCTGATGGGGGATTTCTCTGCTCCTGCCGAATTCTTTGTGACCCTGGGCATCTTCTCCTTCTTCTACACCATGGCTGCGCTGGTCCTTTACCTGCGCTTCCACAACCTCTACACAGAGAACAAGCGCTTCCCGCTGGTGGTGAGTGGGCATTGGCCAGGAGGGATGGGGTGGAGAAACTGAGGAGGTGTGCCTCCTGGGACTGATGTCACATTGAGCGGGGAGGACACCCCGATGTGGAAACTCCTGAGTCTCCCTGCCAGCTCTTTGCTGTTCATCCCCTTCAGGTTCTGTGGTTCCCACAGCTCCGAGGACTCTGCCTCTAGCAATCCCCCATCGCTTGCTGTGCTCAGAGAGGGCGTAGCAGCATCAAGAAGTGGGCTCTGGAGCCAGACTGCCTGGGTTCAGATTCCAGGATAGTCCTTTATAGCTGTGTGCTCTTGGACAAGTCACTTATCCCCTCTAAACCCCAGGTTCCTCAATATACAGGGGGATAAAGTAATACCTATCTCATAGTGTTTGGGGGAGATGAGTGAAAATACAGGTAAGATATCTGGTATATAGTTAGCTTCAATAAGTGTTAGCTATCATTAATATTCTTCCCCCTCTCCTGTCTCCGTAACCCAGGCATGCAAGGTGGAAGGGGTGCCCTTGAGGACCCCATTTGTCTCCTGCAGTCTGCCACCAGGGGTAGCTGAGCAATGGTGATCAAAGGAAAGGCTTGAAGGCGAGAGTGGGGAGATTAGGCCACCTGGGTTTGGGGGTGACAGTGACCAGCAGGTACCTTGATACCTCGTTGCTTGACCTCCGTTCTGAGGGCCTGGGCAGGGGTAGCCCTGAGTGGCAGCGTTCCTTTAGTGGCAGTAAACAGATTCCTTAAGATGACCTGGGCTCCCTGAGGCTCCAGGTGTTGGGTAGGACGGCAAGAGGTAGCTGTCCTGGGATCACAGGATCCCAGGGCATTATGGCCAGATGAAGAGAAGTAGGCCATCGGGGGGCCTTTCTGAGTGCATTTCCTGTCCCTCTGCTCCTCCCAGGACTTCTGTGTGACTGTCTCCTTCACCTTCTTCTGGCTGGTAGCTGCAGCCGCCTGGGGCAAGGGCTTGACGGACATCAAGGGGGCCACACGGCCATCCAGCCTGACGGCAGCCATGTCAGTGTGCCATGGAGAGGAAGCGGTGTGCAGTGCTGGGGCCACGCCCTCTATGGGACTGGCCAACATCTCTGTGGTGAGACCTGCAGCCGCTGCTGGTGTCTGGGGGAGGCCGGTCCCAGCTGGCAGGTTCTGAGAGGAACAGAGAGGGTGTCTCTCCAGCCTGTATCCCCTGCAACTGGAGCCGGTGACCCCAGCACCTACGGGTGGCTGCTGGCCCCTGGATGACCCCGAGAAGACATGTTGGTTTTGGGGGGGAACCCAAGAGCCACTAGCCTCCTGTTCTTTCCTCCTTCTGTACTCTGCCCTCCCATCTCCCTTCTCCCCACCTCTAGGCATGCTCTCCGTGACTGCCTCCCACTCCTCCTGCCTCTTGACAATGTGTGTGCGAGCATGTGAAGGGGCGCGCAGGCTGTGTGGCTGGGCTCAAGACTGGGAGCAGACCCAGAGTGAAAGAGAAGGGCTTCATTGTCACCCAGGCCTCTAAACTGGAAAGGGGCTTTGGGCAAGGGTGGGCCCAGCTGGTGCACAGAGGTTTGGCCATCCCGGTTGTTAGAATGTGGAAATCTTTCCATATCAGTTGGCACATAGCTGAGGCTTCAAGCTTTTCAAATGCCCCCGTCACCTTAGCCTTGTCCTGAAAATGGCTTAGAACTCCCCAAGGCCCAGCAACTGAAGGGGTTTCATCGCTGGCACACCAGGGAACCTTCTAGACCTTGTTAGAACCCTGCTGATAGGTTTTAGCCCCCAACATTTTATTGTAAAAATTTTCACACATACAGTAAAGTTGTAAGAATTTTACAGTGAACACCCACACACTCGTCGCCTAAACTGTACCATTAACATTTTCCTAGACATGCTTTATCACATATCTGTCTGCCCCTCTTCATCCATCAAACCATCTTATTTTTCATGCATTTCGAAGTCAATTGCAGACATCAGTACAGTCCCCCCCAAAATACTACCTGCTGATAGGTTTTTAAGTATCTTTTTAAAAGATTTTATTTATTTATTTGACAGAGAGAAAGAGAGAGTGCGAGAGTGCCCAAGTAGGGGGAGCAGGAGAGGGAGAAGCAGGCTCCCTACTGAGCAGGGAGCCCGATATGGGGCTTGATCCCAGGATGCCGGGATCATGACCTGAGCCGAAGGTAGACGCTTAAACTGACTGAGCCACCCAGGTGCCCCTTAAGTATTTTTGAATAAATATTTGAATATAGCCCTGGCTGGGTCCCTGGCCCAGGAAAGGAGCACCTTGGACAGCTCTGGTCACACCCACCCTTGAAAAAAGGCACTCAGAACAGTGCTGTGGAGAGCGCCCTAGAGCCCTTGCTCCTTGCTATGCTTTGCATGATGCTTCACTCCAGGGGCCAGATTCTCCTAGCGATCAAGCTACAACTCAGGTGCGTGCTGTGGACAGTTAGAGACTTTCATCAGAGAACCCGTGGTGGGTATCGGCATTGAACCCTGCCTCTACATCCAGTTCTCTGTATTTTAGTCTTCCCAGCCCTCAGCCTCTTCCCCCACCCACCACAGGGACTCCCCCGCCCCACCCCCCTCAGTTCCCACAATGCCCTCCTTACTGTTCTCACAAACTTCCCTGATGTCTTTGCAGCTCTTCGGCTTTATCAACTTCTTCCTGTGGGCCGGGAACTGTTGGTTTGTGTTCAAGGAGACTCCGTGGCATGGGCAGGGCCAGGACCAGGGCCAGGGCCCCAGCCTGGAGAGCGCTGCTGAGCAGGGAGCAGTGGAGAAGCAGTAAGCAGCCCCCACCTGGCTCCTCCTGAACAGGACAGCACCTCTTCAACCACCTCCAGCTTCCAGGACCTCCCTCTTCTTCCTTCTCCAACTCCCCTCCCCTGTCATTCTGGGCTTTGAGCTTTGAGATGTCGTCGCTGATGGATGGGCAGGCATCAGCTGTCAGAAACCCGGGCAGCCCTCCCAGTGGCTTCCTAGCCCTCCTCTGGCTGGAGCCTCAGATGGCAGGAGCTCACGGCTTCTTGTCTACTGCCTGGACCCCCAGCATCTTACTTGGGGTCTTACTTATACCCTTATAGCCTCTGAGAAGGAGCCTCTACTGCAGGGGGCAGGAGACCAGAGTCCTGAGACTCGTTCCTAGCAGCCACTTCTATCAACGTGTCGGCTTCAATAAAAGTGGGGGGAGGGGAAATTGGCTGGCAGCCTTCTTCCTGGTCCCTTGCATGAAGAGCCCACCAGCAGTTCAGTGACCCCTCTTCAATAGCTGTCATCTAAGCCTGTGTCTGCCCCCATCTCCAGTCAGCCCGCGCTCTCCCACTTTTCCCTCTGGCCTCTGCTCAGCCACACAGCCTACCATGTGGGAACCCAGGAGGCCAACTAGCCTGGAAAACAGCTCTGTAGAGGGTCCTGATGTGGCCTGGACTCAGTGGGGAGCAGATATATTGCAACTGGGTTGCAACTTCAAGATCCTGAAGCCAGGAAACTTGCTGGGGAAGCATTTCTTCTGTTCCTTCAGTCCTCCCACCTCCCTAGGCTGGGGCACTTTCTACCAACGCTACACTCGTACTTGCCCTAGAAACTCCCGACCTTCCTCCCTGCCCTCCTTCTTGGGCTTAGTCTCACGTACGGGACACAAGATGAGTGGTCTAGGAGCATCTCCATTTCAGCCCTCCCCACCTCCAACCTCTCTGTCCATCTCCCTTCCCCAGCCTCTTGGGTTTGAGACATTCAGATCCTTTTCCATGTCTGTCCAGGCCTTCCTTTCATTCCTGTGGGTCCAGATAGGGACTTTGGAAGGGCCCAAAGGACCATCATGAGGCTAAGTTGCCCCAGAGCCCCAGGACATGGATGGATGGGCCCATTTCTTCCTCGTTTTCCCCCAACCCACAACTCCTTCTCTGGCCTCTGTTTCATACTTCCGTGCCTCACCTTTACAAAAGGACATGCCCTCTCGGTTTGCCCTCTGTTCCTCCCCTGCTTCCTCATTTCTCCCAGGCTCTATCCCTCCCCACCCGAACCCCAGTCCAGGGCAGGCCAATGCTATTGGTGCTTCTTCACTTTGGGACCCAGTTCCATATTTGTCTTTGATATGTCTCCTCTTTCTGACACCTCCTTCAGTCCCTCTCTGGACCCCAGGGCCTAAGAGTCAGTGCTGACTGGAAAAGGGCCATTCATCTCCTACCCAGCTCAAAGCACTTTAGTCTGACCTTGGCCATAGGGCTGCTCAGAGAAGGATGGAGAAGGAAGAATCCAGCCATTTTCCAATCCAGTGCCAATTAGCCCACTTATCATCCCAAAGGTGAATGTGCCCTGTGCCAATTTCTCCTCCGGACTGAGACAACCCCTCCAACCTTCTCACCTCCCTAAACACCATCCATAGTAATGTGCACATTACCGGAGTACCCAGAAGACAGGATCTTTGACTTTGGGCCAATCATTTCTTCTTTGGGTCAGAGTCTCCCCACTTGACAGGGGGAGTGTGAGATTTACCTCCTCAAATGCTCCAGAACCCTTCAGTGAAAGAATTAGGTTTTTTGTTTTGTTTTGTTTTTGGATTTTGGGGAAGGGATTTGAGGAGGGAAGAGAGGAGATGGGGATGAGAGTGTTTCTAAGTCTGAACCTCTCTCTGTCCTGAACTGTCCCCATGGTTACTCAAGCAAGAGGGGGAACAGTTTTGCCTATAGCTCCAGAGACACAGAGAACAAAGAGGTGACCATTTTTCTTTAAGCTGGCCCCTGTGAGGGGCTGTGAGCAGCTTCTACTGGAACTTTGTTTGGATTCTGTGTATGTATTTATAATTTATTTGAAATGTGATGGATAAAGTGTTCTCATTTGGGGGCTGAAGTTAGCAACTGGCCCTTGAGCTAGGGGAAGGGGGGTGGGGTGGGGTGGGTATGCACTCCTGCCAAGGACTCCTAGCCCAGAACTCTCCCTAGAGCAGAGAAGGCTCTTTCTCCTCCTCAAGAGGCTGGCTTGTTCTCATCGAGAAGGGCCTTGATTTTGGCTATGGCCTTGCTTTCCATGACCACCCTAAGAGGAAAGGCTACTTCACCTCATTACCTCCAGAGGGCTGGGCTAGGCCAAGTGCTGAGGGCAGAACTGTCCTCATAGGCCTCATGTCCCCTCCAATCAGGGCTGGCACCACTGCTTTGCCTAGTGGGGACTAGGGTAGGAGACTGTGTGTGGTTTCTCCAGATTACAGGAGGCCAACAGGTAGGATGCTTGCCCTCTGCCCTACTAAACTCTGACACTGCCAGAGTGCCCACTGAGGACCTTTTCGGAATTTTGAGTTCTCTCCACTATCATGATCATAGGTCTCTTCCTTCTGGGATTGAAGATCGGGATGGGGGGTGGGGGGAGAATGTTGCATGTTGTTTTCCGATGCTTGTTATTACACATTTGAATAAACAGTGCTTCAAAGCATTTGCCATGAAGGAGCTAAGACTGGAGCCCTTCCAGGGATTTTTTTTCTCTTCTTCCCATTGCTTTAAGTTCTTGCATTTCTGCCAAAACATCATTCCACTCCTCTCCACTCTGCACCCCAAGCAATAGAGTCTGCGTTTCCTCTTTTAGTGGCACCAATTAGTCCAAAGTAACTGAGACTGGTTAGCAAATTTGAGCAAACTCAAAAAGCAAGAGATAGTGGCTTTCACAGTGATGTTTCCATTTGCTCTCCTAAGCTTCCTGTCAGGAGGTGCCCTTTTGCCTTGCCCTTTTAACTATAAAGGTTCTTTCTGAACAAACTTGCACATCTCTCCCCCTTCTGACAAGCGACCCTTACATTCCCTAGAAAAAACACACTTGCACACGATGTTACATTCAATTTCAACAAGTTCCTGGACCACCTCCCCACCCCCACCCCCATCATCTGTGGTTCTCAGGTTAAGAATCTCTGCCCTCAGAGATTATCTTCACAGTACTTAAACCTTCCCTGGGTGAAAATGAGAAGAAAGTCTGAGGTCTTGAAGTCACAGACCTTGACTTATTTGCCTCCAGTTTGGTTTCCTTTAGCTGAAGGAATGAATATGGGGTGAGCTGTGAGAGTTGAAAAGGGAAAAGAGAACTAGTCTCTCTTTTCTGATGTGATGGGGGGGGCAGGCTTTTGTCTCTTGATTGTGGGAGGGTGGGAAGAAATGTTATCAGCTGAGAAGAAGAAAGAGGATGATTAAGGTATTTTCCAGGCCTTAGCAAGGAAAATGACAGATCTGATGAGAAATCTCCCTATGCTGAGGCTCTGGTAGCAGGCTTTCCAGCAGAGAAAAGATTCATTAGAAAAAGAAACCAAAGTGATGGATGGAGTCAGGGTCCAGCCAGGGTTTGGGAAGAGGCGGTACAGGGTATCGATCGCAGTTCTCAGGAGGAGAGAAGGATCAGCAGAGATGCTGCAAACACCAGCAGCCTCGGGGCCACCCCAGTTCCGGGGCTGGCTCTGGCTCAGAGATAGCCTTCTGTCATCCTGACAGGTGATCTTGATCAGCTCATCTAGGTCCTCCCAAACACAGACAACGCCACTCCAGCCCTCTACCCTGCTTCAGGGCACCGTGGGTTTCCCACAGAAGAGACACAACACGAGAGCCGAGGACCCTCCCCCACTCCAACCCTTGTGTCCTTCAGCATATCCTACAGACTCCCTCCCCTTGTCCTTCGGATTCACAGCGCCCACCTCCCTGCACCTACCCTATTCGATCTACAGGGGAGCGAAGTCGCTTCCTGACCGCCAGCCCGGGAAGGGGCGCCAGCCAGCTGGCGAAGGCACGGCTTAGAGGGGCGTCTTGGGCAGAGAGAGGCTTGGGGCTGGGGTGTGTATGCAGTGAGCTTGGGAGAGTGTGCTGGTAGCACAAAGAATGTGTGCACAAGGGTTAGGAGAGGAGGTCCTGGGGCTTTGGTCTTTTTGCCCTCCGCAATTGTGCATTTTGGAGGGGCTCTTGCTGCAAGCTCCGTAGGCACCGGCAAGTCCCTCCAAGACTACACTTCCCAGAAGGCTATGTGAGAGGGAGAGTGAGGGGCAGACAACCTGTGCTGCGCTTGCGCAAAGAGTGAGCTGGAAAGGTGGGAGGGAGAGGGGAGGCGTGCCCGCGGCGGGGCTAGGGGGAGGGGGCCGCGCGGCGGTGGCGCCGGGGCGGGCGCGCGTCCGCCGCGGTGATGGCGGTGCGTGAACGCGCGGCGGCAGCAATGGCCGCTCTGGAGCGGCGGGTGCCGAGTCTCGATGACTTCGCGGGACAGAGCTGGAGCTCGTGGGTGGAACGGGCCGACCTGCCCGCGGCCGACGGTGAGTGAAGCTCCCCTAGAGTCCGGGGACCCCATCACTGTCTCCCCTCCCCCTCTCCGGGCCCCCGCCAGCAGAGGGGAGCCGCCGACGGGAGCCGCCGTCCGGCTCCCCGACCCCCCAAACAAAGGACCCGCCGGGTCCTAGTGCCCGCCTGCTCCGTCACCTTCGCGCCTCCGGGTCCTAGCGCCGGCCCACCGCTCGTAGCCCACCCTGCCCACCTCTGCCTCTGCCGGTGCCCAGTACCTGCCCCAACATCTGCTTGCTTTTACCTTTCTCTTCGCCTGCTGTCCTCTAGCTTCCGCCCCTCCTGCACCTGCCTAGGGCTTTCCCCGTCCGCAACAGTCCTCTCCACGTGTTTCCCACGCACCCCACTTCTGTGCCCCCCTCCCAACCCCCCTTGTTCCTTCGCCTTCTGCCCCACACCTCCTGCTCCTTTTTGGCGTTTGCCTGCGGGTTGCAGTGCTACTGGACCCCCGCCCCCTCCGCATTAGTTCGTCGGTCCATCCATCTATCCATCCTCCCTTCCTCCCTCCTTTCGTCCATCCATCCCTCTGTGCCTCCAACCCTCAGTCCTTTCCCGGGCCTCTTGCCCTGCCTCTTGGCTCTCTCCCCTGACCCCCACCTTCTCTAGGCCCCTGAGTGCCTTTGGTAAGCGTGCTGACAGCCCCTTCTGCTGATCTTTGTCTCCTGGGCCCCAGGGGGCACCTGGCCTCGTGGCCTTTGGGGTGACAGCAGGCATCACAGCCCTGAAGAAGTTTGCAAGTGAAGAGGTGGAGGAGGAGACCGCTCCATGCGGTCTCCGATGACACTTGTTCTCCTCAGACATCCCACTCCCAGCTCAGTTCTGCCCATCAGTGCATTTTAACGGACTTCAGAGTGGGAGCTGCCCCTTGTCTCTTGCATGCCTAACCCACTACCCCTCATATCTAGAGATTATGTAAGACTGTCAGCGATCTTCTCATCCTAGAAAGGGGCAAATCTGTTAGTAGGTGTTAGAAGCACATCTGAGTGGAAGGCCAGGCCACCCCAGGACTGCCCCATGCTGGGTGGGCAAGGATGGGGCCATTGTCAGGGTCTGGGTGCTTTGAGAACCGGAAATGGAATCAGACGGGTTTGGTGACTCAGAATTGATTTTTTTTCCAAGGGACAGGGAGGGGGCATAGAGGAGGGAGGGGAGAGGAGTAAGGTAGGGGGATGGGGGAAAGAGCTGCTTTGCACAGCTAAGATGTTTTTATCATCAACCCAGAAACTGAGGTATAAGGGCAACCCTTGCCCAAAGCCCTCCTAAAGAGGGGAGGCGCTTGCATAGCTGACCAAAGGGACTTTGAAGATGCCAGAGGACCCCCGAGACAGCAGTTTCTCTGCTCTGTGACCATCCTGTCAATGCAGGACCTGAGAAGCTGGGTGTAACTTTGTCAGTACCACGGTAACCCAGGTGGAAGAAAATCGCATTCATGGGGATGGGGACCTGGGAGATATCTGTTTGGTGTGGCACAGAGTAGCAGGAAGGACCCATCTGAGAAATCTCAAGAAGGGACTGGGAGATTTATAGTAAAACATGTTAAGGATTGTTTCCCATTTAAATGGGGAAGCGGGCCCAGAAAAGAGATCATATTTATTCACAATCACCCAGCTACTCAGCAGTGGAACCCTGAATTGTGCTTTGGAGTGGAGGGTCCCTAAGAAAGGTGGCAGGATCCTTCCTAAGGGGGTCAGCTGATTCCAGAGGTAGCAGCTGAAGGAAGAATGGGCACTTGAGAATGACCCACTGAAAGGCTCTCCAAGGGGTCCTGAGCACCGGGAGCTTGTTAGAGAGTGCAGGCTTCCTACTCCTCAGCTGCCAGCACTGGTTGGGTGGGAGCCGGGGTTCCTGGGGTGGGGGTGGTCCTTCTAAGCTGTGTTTCTCCTCCAGGGGCTGAGGTGGAGGAGAGTAACAAAAACATGAAGAAGCTGGATGCCATGACCCTCATTAAAGAAGGTGGGAGTTGACATGCGTTAGGGCTGGGGCCTAGGGCAGACAGGACCACCTTCCTCTCTTTCAACATATCCCAGGAGGTGGCTGCTTGAAGCAGCAGGTCTGGGATCCTCGCTTTGCTAGGTCTGAGTCAGCCCATTCCCCTGCCTCCTGTGACCCGTTGTGGGAGATCCTAATCGTAGGTGATTGGGCTCACTCACCTGACAGCCCACGTTCTTAGGTTGAGCTCTAGAAGCTGAGAGCAGGCAGCATAAAGCCTGTCATGTCAGCTGGGGGGGGGGGGCAGGCGGGGTGCTGCCTGATCTTACAGGGAAACCCTGGGATCCCCAGCCCCAGTGATAAGGGCTTCTGTCATTGCAGACATGTCCATCTTCGGGCACTGCCCTGCCCATGACGACTTCTATTTGGTTGTGTGTAACCACTGCAGCCAAGTGGTGAAGCCTCAAGCTTTCCAGAAGCACTGCGGTGAGGGGAGCCCTAGGGAGGAGATAGAGGGGACAGGGGAAGGTGGAACGTGGAACTCTGAGGACAGGGTCAGTTGGGAGGTCACGTGGGTCCTGGGGGGGAGGGCTTGGGGATCAGAAGGTCCTGGGGATGGCTTCAGAGGACTGTGGCGGGTCAGAATGATTGTTTGAGCAAAATTCTAGCATCTAGTGAAATTAGGGGAAGAGCAAAGAGGTTCAGGAAGCCGAGTTCTAATTTTGAGTCTGGAAGGCTCAGATTCAAGTGGGAAAATGGCAAATTTAGAATCTCAGGCTTGGGAAATTGCAGATTTTGGTATCGTGAGTTTGTGAGCAGGGTCAGGAGATGGGGGAAGGAGGCAGTTGATACCACTCACCTCGATTACTCTCTCCACCTCCTGGTGACAGAAAGAAGACATGGGCCCCTCAGCAAGCTTTACGCCCGGGCCCCACCCCCACCTCCAGCCCCTGCCAGCTCTCAGAAATGCCATGTAGTGAATGGGCAGGGCCCAGCTTGCAGGGCCCCAGGTTCCACCAAAACCTCCTCCAGGGAGAAGGGCCAGGGGTCCCGGAGCCGTGGCCACCCGCCTCCTGAGAAGACACAGAAGGACAACCTCTGGTAAGGAGAGGCTGGAGACTCCCCGAGACCAGCCTTGACCCTGACCCTAGCCCGGGGAGGCGTTAACATAAATGGAGACAGCTGTGGGGCAATGAGCCCTGCTCACAGCAGGAGGCAG